GGACAGAGCTCTTCTTGTTAGAAAAGTCCTGAGTCTGAACAGCAATCTGGGCTTTGCTAGGAATTGAAGAAATGCCATATGGTGGGGGGATCCCCATGATTTCCCTGTTCTGGGGCTAAACTCATAAAAATAGTGGAAAAGACACTATCAAAACCAGTGTATCTATGGTTGGTTTTAGTGAGCGGTAGCATGATTCAACAGGAGTAATTCATATCCACTAATCACAGCCCCTGAATTTCAGTCAAGAGCATACATTTCAGACTGCACAGAGATGTGGAGGGTGGCAAGTGGTAATAGCATTGAAGGGGAAAAGAATTTACATGAATGGTATTGTTTCTGTTTTTCCACTGTATTTTTATACCCCATTTTATGAATGTTGCATTGTTTAGGGTGGGGTGACAACAGACAGTGTCTAGGCCTTTGTTGCTGTAACCTAAAGACTTGGACCTCTTTTCTATGGCTCCAGCCCTAGCCTTTTAGTCAGTTTGCCATGACTAAAACAAACAGCTGAGATGAATCAACTTAAAAAGCGGAAAGATTGATTTTTGACTTGGAATGTTAGAGATTTCAATCCATCACTGATTGGCCTCATGGCTCGTGGAGGCACATGGCATCCTGGCAGAAGCATGTGGTGGAGCAAGTCATTCTCTTCATGGCAGGGAAGTGAAAAAGAGAAAGAGGAAGGGGCAGAGTTCTACTCTGTCCTTTGAAGGCACACCCCCCATGACTCAGTGACCTACTATCAGACCCCATGTTTAAAGGCTCCACCACTTCCCAAAACTCCCACTCCAGCAATCAAGCCTTTGGGGGCATCAAGATCCAAGCTACAGCACCTAGCAGTGCAGCTCTCCATTTGGATGTGGTGGCATTTGCCTGTAATCCCAGCATTCCAGGGGGCTGAGGCAGAAGGATTCAAGTTTGCACCCAGCTTGGCACTTTAGTGATTTAGCAAAGCAAAATATAAATAAAATAAATAAATAAATAGCCATAGAAAAGAGGTCCAAGTCTTCCGGTTACAGCAACGAAGGTCTAGACACTGTCTGTTGTCACCCCACCCTAAACAGTGTGACATTCATAAAATGGGATATATATGTCAGTGCAAAGTTCTTGGTTTAATCCCCAGTACTTGAAAGAGAAGAGAAGAGAAGGGAAGAGAAGAGAAGAGAAGAGAAGAGAAGAGAAGAGAAGAGAAGAGAAGAAAAGAGAAGAGAAGAGAAGAGAAGAGAAGAGGAAAGGAAATGTAAGAAAAGAAAAGAAAAGAAAAGAAAAGAAAAGAAAAGAAAAGAAAAGAAAAGAAAAGAAAAGAGAAAGTGTGGGGAGAATTGTATTCTGAAGTGTTGCATGGGAAGTGAGCATGGGAACTGAAAGTTCTTTCGTTTCATGCTTTAGGCAGAAAATGGATCTCTGCTCACAGTGATGGATCCCAGCAAGAGTCTTCTCTGAAAGAGGTCAAATTTAGAGATACTTTAGTTCTACCTTTCTTCTCTCCCCTGAAGTTTCCTAAGTAGTCCCCCTTCTTAGGTTTCAACTCCCACCTACCATTCTTCTCAGTGCTGCCACATTTATCTTTCTAAATGCTTCTGATCTTGCCTCACCCAACTGAAAATGCTTCTTCAGCACCCTACTTTCTACTTTATGAAGTCTTAGTTGTCCAGCTGGTTGGTCATATAAGGGTTATTATTCGCTCTGGAAAGCTCTCTAACATACTAATCTAGCAAAATTAAAGTACTTACAGTCTGGCTATGCTGTTCCCTGGTGCTGTGATTTTTGTACATCCTTGTTGTTTTGCTTGGATTGTTCTGGCAAAGTCTTATTCATTTTCAAACCTGGACCAGATATCACTTCCTACAGGAACTATTGATAAAGAGCTAAACAAATATTTGTCAAGTATTTTCTGTATGGTAGGTCCTGTGCTAGAAGATGGCCATATAAAAATGCTTAAAGCCTAGTCCAAATCTTCTAGAATTAGTTAACTACTTTCATTTCTTACCTTCTTTTAGCCCTGGTGCCTGGTGCATGCTTTTTACTTGTATCAGTCTTCATTTTCTTTTTTGTGGGCTCAACAAATAATTTCTGTTCTTAGAAATGAGCAAGTACTACATTATATCTTAAATTCATAGGCACATGGCCAGTATTCACAAAACACACAGTATTTAGAGAGGTTCATGGGCATAGTTTCCACTAGAAGATATGATTTTAGGTGATGAAATCACACCTTAGTGCTTTGTAATCAGGCCCCTGCTCAGGCAACACATAAAAGCACAGTGCAAATAGGGTAGTGATTAAAGGTGTATGTTCTGAGAACAAATTGCCTGAGTTTGAATCTCAGCTCTGCTACTTGTAAACTGGGTAAATTTGGGTAAATGAGTGAATCTTTACCTTAAGTTTCTCATCTGTGAAATGCAGATGATGGTAGTTTCTGTCTTATAGAGTTGTTAAGATCCATACCAAAATGTGCTGAGAACAGTGCCTAGCACCATATAACTGTTTAATAAAGGGTAACTGTTATTGTTACTTTGTATAAGAGGATAGTTTTCTCTCACTGTCAGCAGGCCCAGCGACTTTTATATTTAGCAATAAAAGAACTGTTTATTTTGCTGAGAAAAATATGTACCTTCACCTAATTTTCATTGAACCAATGGCACATGTCAGAACAATGGCCTGGAACAGCCCAGAGCTTGGAATTGAGTTTTTGTTTGCATAGAGATAAATGACATATGTGTGTGTGTGTGGGAAACTGCATTAGCACACACTGATTGCGTCAGACGGCTATAAATACGGGCTGAGACATAGTGGCTGAAGGTCTGTGGGATAACAGCTAAGAGCATAAGGTCTGGAATCTGACTACATCACCTAGTCTCATTGCACCACCATTTACTTGCTCTATGACCTTGTTATTTCTTTGTACCTCTGTTTCCACATGTATGCAATGAGACTGATAATAGAAGTCCCTATTTTATACAGTTATTGTGGGAACATAATGAAATAACACATGTGAAACACTAAGAACATTCCTTGGTACAAAGTACATAGTAATTTAAAAAGATGCATGCAGTGGACAGAAAACAGAAATAAAATTAATCACTATGAAAGTATTCAACTAAATGAGTAATTCCCCAGAGAAAATAAGAAAATTTTTATTATAATTACATGCACGCAATAATCTTTATTAAAGTCTTTTTCTTGGTTTCTACAAATATCTCCAACTCATCCCCCTGCTGCCATTTAGGTTGGGTTCAGACCACCAGAATTTCCCAACATGTGTCCCGTGGAATATCTGCCTTAAGACGTATGTGAGAAAAAAGGCTCTTGCAGCTGAGTAACTTTGGTGCGTGGGTGATGGTGCATCCCATAATCCTTTGGAGCTTCAAATGTACAGTAACTCCCTTAATAAGTCTTGAAAAAAATGTTTTAGTTTAATCCAGCATTTCTCAAACTAACTTAATCTTAGAATCCTTTTAAAATTATGCTACCTTTTAAAGTCCATTGACTACTGTCTGTGGAACAAGCACAGAGAAATGATTGCTTAGACAAGTATCAAAATGGCCTTTATACTAAATCAAGAGCTGAAGGGTATGGGAGGAAAGTGAGAAGGAGAGGGCTCATATTTCTTAGACTGGCAATGCTGAGGACAATTCACAAAGTCCTAAGCCATAGAACCCCCTCAAGGTCACAGACATTCAAAGAAATACGAAGTCCCTGGAGTATGTGCAGGGTCTTTGGAGAGTGTCCAGTGGGTCCCTCAGACTACGGTCTCCTGCAACTGAGCTGCTGGGGTCCCACCATGGAAGTTCACTCTAAAGGCTCCTACACATACTTTGTCATTTGCCTTTGGCCACACACTTCCTGAATTTACTTCCTATTCTTTGGAAGAGAAGAGACTACAAGAAAAACATGTAAAGTGAAATGGTCCATTGGGGAAACCAGAGGTCAAATCCAGGTGTGGAAGGGAAGAAGGACTGATTGAGACCTTCTGGGAGGACAAGCATTTTCCTCTGGGAGGAGCAGAGATAAAGGTGGCCAGCAATACCGGTGAGGAGGACCCGTCATAGCAGATTAGGACCGGAAGGGTGCTTAGGAAAAATAATAGTGACCCGGAAGGTCCGGGACAGAATGAGAGCCTCCTGAACTATGTTTAATGCATCTTTAGAGTTCTGTTCTTGAAGAGAAAGGTGTTGTCCGAGGAAGGGAGGATGTTTGTTATAGAAAGGAGAATAGAGTCGATGAAAAATCCCCACTAAGAGATATTGTACGTGTATAGAATCGCAGTGTCCAATGTATATGTGATTTCCCAAGTTAACATCCTTTCTGGGCTACTCCCTGAAGGCAGGTGCGTTCAGGTGCAGGGTCTGATTACCTCCTCCTGTTGCCCGTTCCTTCTCCCTCTGGGTTCCCACTGAAGAAGAAGAGGCTGGACTGTATCCTGAGTGGTCTGGTGCAGAGACTGAGCTGTCTTTGCAAGGTCGAAGGTCAAGACCTTGACCCTGGTCGGACCCAGACTGCGAGGGGCTGCTGAGTGGAAATGAAGGATGGGAAAAAAGAAAAAGAAACTTACTAATATTAACAATGCCTCCCGACGGGTGGTGGGAGAGTTATATCTTTTTCATGGGTATCTATTAATTTTATAACTGTGGAAAATTAAATTTGTGCCTCCAGCTCACACCCTATTGTCTAGAGTGGTCAATATGTAGAAAACCTGAGCAAACATTAAACATAAGCTGCATTAGTGTGTTTTTAGGGGGGGAAAAGGCATAGATGAGGTACAGTAATGCACCCAAGAAAGTTATATGCGCATAATTCTACAGAAGGGGAGAAATTTGCAAGGGGTGAGATGGTTTGAGAAGTTTGGGAAGAAAACTGCACCTTTCTCCTGCGGCGGGCCGAGGTGGGGCGGACGGGACACACCCGGCAGCCTGTGGGGCGGCGCAGGTGGCCGACGCCGCGGGGAGTGGGGGCGGGGCAGGAAGCCGGGGTGGCACGGGGCGGGGGGCGGAGCCTCTGCGAGCGCCGCAGGTGCGGAGGGGCGGGGTGGCACCTGCCGGAGAGCCAGGCGACCCGGCTGCGGCGCTGAGCCTCTGAGCCCGGGGACGGGAAAACCCAGGGGCTCTCTGTGGACGTGCGTCCTGAGCCGGCAGCTGATGGAAAAAGACACGATGCCCCGAAGCCCCTGAGCTGAAAGGGGCCAGACAGAGGCCAGCATGGGCTCCGAGCTGCCCGCACCTTGGCTGCTACTCTGGCTCCCAGCAGGTGAGCCGTGGAAAGATGGGACCCACCCGGGCCCAGGGAGACAGGAAGCCATTGTTGCCTGGCCTTGCAGAGCGGGCCACCGGCAGGGCAGTGGCGGCCTGGGCTGAGTTTCGGTGGCGCCTGGCACGGACACCAGCAGGTGCGGGGACTGGATCGAGTTTCCGCCTGTGGGAACCTGTTGTTTTTCCCTTTTATAAGCCCAGGCCCTTTCGAGACAGGTGCAAGCAACAATGAAATCCAGAGCCTGTGGACTCCCCTCCAGTGGTCAGTGGGCGTTTCTTGCTCTGTAAAGCCTAATGGGTAGAGGCAAAAGCAGTATTCGAGAAATTCCTGTTTGTCCCTTCATCTGATACTTGCTTTTAGGTTCTAGAAATGGTGACAACCCTATTGGCCCAGCGTGGGTTTATTTCCTTCCTGGGAGCTTCTGTGTCACGAGCAAAGGAAGGAACGGTTGGCGTAACCCGGCTTCTCTGCTAGGGGACCCCGACATGGGCCTCGTTGCTAACCGCGTTCAGTCACTTTTCTGCTTTCTCTGTGTCCACCCACTTCCCTCACTTTACTTGTTGCTCATCCTCTTCCCTTAGGTCCCCACCCACCTGCCCCTCGGCTTCGTCATTTTAACCTCCACACTAAGCCTCTCTCTGCTTTTATGCACGGTTTTGTGTGTGTCTCCGCGTATCTCTTGGGAAGAGGACAGGAGTGTGTATCTGTGCGAGTGAAAGCCGGCAGGAAAGGGCAGCCGAGTGACACAGGAAATGGACTAAATGTCACCTAAATGTGCAGACACTGTGAACCCTTTCCAAATGAGGGTGTAGGAGTGGCTTTGTAAACAAGAATTATAAATTCCCTTGGAAGTTCCACCCTGTTTTATTTCATTTTTACCTTTTTCTCTACCCTTTTATGAATAGCTGCCCTCTTACCTTTAGGTCGTCAGTGGGAGGTCAGCTTGGAGTTTACTCGCAGATCCGTTTGAGTCTTGAATGTTTTTTAAGGGCAAAGATCTAATACGAACATGGAAGCAGAATTTTCTTTTATAAGCTTGAGGGGACCTGAGAATTGCTCAGGTGAAATCAAATCTCGCTCAGATAGGATTCTACAATAACTCACGCTTAATGCTAAGAATAAAAGGAAGGAAGGATTGTAAAAGGGTAAGAAAAGCCTGGAAAATTAGTAGCCTCAAGGCGTTATAAGTCTTTTTTGCAGGACAGAGGACCTATTAATTGTGTGAGGGTAACAAGACTAGATGCTGGATACTCACAATGCACTAGGAAATGGACTAAATGTCACCTAAATTTCAGTACCTCAAATCCCACCGCAGTAGCCACCATCTTAGGCTGTGAGAACACATTCAGAAAACTCCCACAGCTTTGTACGGTCTCTTCACCTTTGCCTCACATGTTCACCTCAAATTCCACAACAGCTGGATATTTCTGAAACTGTGTGAGCTGTGTTTTCAGAAAAATAGAAGTCTGTTCCCACCTCTGTCCTGGGGTTACCCCATTTGTAGAATCAAGATTTCACAGACAGCAATTGTCTGGGTCAATTGAATAAGAAAAGAAGGCTTGCAGACAAAAATCCCATTAGGTTATAAACTCCAATCCTTAAGCCACCAGCATAATGTTTTAAAAAGCTGTCCAACTTTATGAAGAATGCTGAATACTGAATATTTTTCAAATGTAGCGAGTATAACCAAAGAGCCAAAGGTTATGTTCTGATAGTAGGCAGCTGGGCAGGGCCTTTAGAAAGCACGGCTCTCAGTATCTATGCACCAGGCATACGGTGTTGGAACCGAGAAGACTGGAGTAGGACAGTTATATGGACTTGGGTCTTGGCCTGGCAGTCCTTGAATGGAAACCTGCCTGCGTGACATGTTTTAGAACCAGATTGTGCCAAAAGTGAAAAAGTCTTAAGTGACCATCACTTTCATTTCCCAGATGAGAAATTGAAATTTTGACTGTTTGACTCCAACACTTAGAAGGGGAAATTGCTATTTTAGTGGATACTTTCCCTGAATATGTGCAGATGTGAGTAAAATGGCATTCAGCTGTTTAATGTGGGTTTGTACCAGAGATGTTTGTATAACTCTGGGCAATACACTGTTCAAAGCTTCCAGTAAATAGGGATGATCGAGGTACATATATCATAAGGTTTTGTGAGCCTTAATTAAAATGAAGGGTTTAGCCAGGCATGGTGTTGCATGCCTGTAATCCCAGCACATGGGAGGCTGAGGCAGGAGGATCACTGCAGGTTTGAGGCCAGAACTACATAGTGAGTGCAAGGCTGGTTTGAACTACATGGCAAGAACCTGTCTCAAAATAAATAAATAAATAAAATACAGTGAAGGTTTTAATGCACTTCATACAGTGTTTGCACAGTGAAGGAGAGCTTCATAAATATTAGCCATGGTGATAGTGGTGGTCATGACTTAGTTCTGGGTAGGATTGTTTAAAGCTAATCTTAAAGTAACTCTTCCTTTGCCCACGGCTAAGAAACTGAACAGTGAAATGACTGCTGGTAAGCTTTCCATTACTGTAACAAGATACCTGAGGTAATCAACTTAAATAGAGGACATTTATTTTAGCTGTTGGAGGTTTTCAAGGAGGAAGAATTGAGAGGTGAACGGTGGTATACAATTCTCACGGAGGAGAACTGATTAGTGTGGCTAAGGTGGTGTACAGGCTGGCAGTAATGGTAGCTTTCACTAGAATGGTTGTGAAGATGGATAGAGAGAGAAAGCCCCAAGATGTTTAGGAGATAAATAAACCCAATTCAGTGATAGATTATGTAGGAAGGGTGAGGGAGGAAGGGATACCAAGGCTGGGCCCTAATGTTTGATCTTGCCCATTCACTAGGATGAGAAGCGTGGGAGAGGCCCAGGTTTGTGTGGAAGGATGATGACTTGGATTTGGGGCTTAGAATTTGAAACAACCAAGAGGAGCCATCAGGGCCATTTGAGTACATATGTCTGTCCAGTTTCTTGTTGTACAGTAATAAGATTTAATATACAAAGCTCTAGGGGTCTTTGAGCATCCTTATAAGATTTATTATCCATGATAGAAAGCATTTCATCTTGTTTATTTTGAGTCTTCTACCAAGAGTATATGCTCCGAGAGTACAGGGACCTTCTCTTTGTGCTTTCTACGGTACCCCTAGCCTCTGGACCAGGGCCTGGCTCAGAGGAGGTACTCAAAAATGAATGAAAATGTGTGCATTCTGGTGGGGTCCAAATTTGCATGGACTCTGAAATTAGTGTGTGGTGACATGAGTCACTAACGTGGGTCAATGACTTTGGGAAACCCCGCATATCTGCCTCTCAACAAGGTCTTGTCTTCTTCCTATGGTAATCAAAGGAATGTCAAGTTCAAACCACCTGAGTAGCTATTTTTTTCACCTAAATTTTTCAGGTTGAAATTTTTCCCTTCTGGAAAGATTTATAGTACAACATGGGGCTGTCACTGTTTTGGGAAATATAGATTTCTTTTCTGAATTATCTATTGAAATATAATGGGCTTATTCTCTTTGAGAAACATATTCTGCTGGAATGAAAGTCTGCATATGGAAGAGATACTTATACAAAAATATTCATTTCAGCAATTCATATCAACCTTGTTTGTAACAGTGAAAAATCAGAAGCAACCTAAATATTGATAGGTAGGAAAATGTGTTTATCCTCAGATTGAATTTTCATGCAACCACTAAAATCTTAGATCTGTATGTGCTGGTAAAGAATATAATTACATGTATGTCATTAGTCTGAAAAGAAGTTGCAAAATTTATGTGCATAATATGATTAATATATAAAATAGCATAGGAAAAGTTATGGCAAATGTGCACCAATTTATCAACAATGGCTCCTCTAGATTCTACAGTTTAAAATGCCTAGTGAGCAAGGAGGAACTTTTTACTTTTACCCTTCTTTATTTGAATTTTTTTTTCTTATTTTATATTAACTTTTGTAAGGGGGAAATGTTTCTATACAAAATGGTTAAAATAAGTTTGTGAACATACCTTAAATTTGTGAATAGTCCTCAAATGGTTAAATCTAAAGCATTTAGAAAACTTCTCTGAAAGTCAGCGTGGCAGAGTAGAAACAGTGTAGGCTCTCAGATTTTAGAGAGCTAAACTTAATCCATCTTTGTCAGTTACTGGGTAAGTTGCCTTAAGCAAATTACTCTCTGAGGATTTTTTTTCACTGTTGAGGCTGACAAAGAATATCTCCTATATTTTTACAAGAATTAAATGAGATAACATGTCATAAGACACCCAGTTTGTGTAAGAAAACAGTAAGTGCTGGGTATATATTGCCATTCTTTTTAGGGTAGCAACATGCTTAGTCCCCCTCCTCTTCAGCTTAGTACTGTTGAATGGCACATGCCAGACCTTTGTTAAACACCCTGTATCTGGCACAATTCCTCCCCCACTCACCCCACATTCCTCATTCCCACTTTTCCTCTCCCAATGCCTCTCTCCCTCCCTTCTAATCCATTATTCATTACCAGCCCATTTCCCCTTGATTCTTCTTGTATTTGCACTGTTATCTACAGAAATGTAGCAGATACTGATGGCAAATATACTTGAGGAGATAACTTGCACAGACATAAACTCTGATAGGATTGAAGCTGTGTACTTTTTGTTAACCTACTGAGTACAGTCAGGGTGCCTATGTATTTGAAAAACATGTAGAAGTCAAGAATTCCCTTCAGTGTCAGGACCAGACCATCACCACCCGCAGGGAAAAAACTATGTTCTGTGTCCCTATGTTAGTCAGCTGTACATGACTGTAACAAAATACCTGAGATTATTAATTTAGAAAAAGGAGAGGCTATTTTGGCTCATACTTTTGGAGAATCCAGTCCATGGTTGGTTGGGCCCACTGCTTTTGGGACTGTAGTTGCAGGCAAGCATGGTAGAGCATGGAATTTCACCTCAAGGTGGCTGCAAAGTAAAGACAGAGAGTGGGAAACCAGTATTTCACAGTGCTTTTTGATAGCACACCCCCGATGACCTGAAGCCACCTCCCTATAGCATCCCTTGCTAAGTACCAAGCCTTTAACACATGGTATTTTGGAAGTTCCCAGGTCCAATCTATAACATACCATCTTTCATGAAGAACCCTGGTATGGAATGGAGGTATACCCTCTAGTCCCCCCAAAATAGTTCTTAATTTTTTTTAAAGAAAAAACATTTTGTTTTGTTCCTGTATCTCTATGATGTGTAGATGATATCTTCTAATACTATGGTATCTGATACTACACAAAGGCAATCAACTAAAAAAAAAAAAGCACGTACAAAGCTGCATGCATCTTTGGAAATATATGGCATTTAGTTGACAAAATCCTCTGCTTTCATTAGTGTATTTTTCCTTCTGCTTTAGCGAAGGATGGTAGTCCCCACTTAGCATGGCAGTCTAGTCTTGGAAAGCACCCCATGGTGGGAAATAGAGAATCCCCTTTCCCTCCCCTCCTTCCCATGAGCTCTAATATCTCATCTGAAGTTTCCTTTCTACCCTTAAGTGACAGGTCTCCCTCCCTTCCTCTTTCACAGAAGCAAACTGTGAATGAATTTGCTGGAATACAAAGCTACAAAGCTTTTAACCCATTAATTCATTTTGCAAAAAGACTGTAATGGTGGTTTACATTTGTATAATGTTAATTCTTTTAAAATGATTTTTTATATATTGGCCTTAATGGATCTCAGTCTCCTAAGTTAGACAAGATATGTGCAAATGATACATGTGAAGGCTAATGTTTATTGAATGCCTGCCTGCGTGTCAAGGTCTTTGCTAAGTGGGACATATTTATTCTCACCATAATCCTATGAGGCAGAAATTGCTGTCATCCCAACTTTTCACACAACCAGAAGCCGAAGCTTGGAAATAACAGTTATATCACTCAGGATGGGGAGTAAAGAATGTAAAGGTAGAATTCAGGCTCCAGACTTGAAATTTTCAATAGGAAAAAATGAGAGACAGCGAGGGATTTATGTGGCAGTGAATTGAGGAAATGCTATAGGATAAAGAGAACCGAAGAGTTTAGAAACTTTTGGTGCTAAGTTTGAAAATGCAAGGATGACGCCAAAATGTCTATAATCAGAGTATTTCTCTTTTTGAAACTGTTCATATTTTTCATCCCAGATTCTTCTAGTTTTGGGTCCCTTCTTCAAAACCCTACCCACTGAGTGCTGTGGATGTCTAGCGAGATTGGTTGTACAAATTGGTTAGAGGCTAAAGAAAAAGAACTAATGGGAGATGTTTGCCTTTGAGATGGGCTATTTACTACTTCCTTTTTCTCTCTCCCAATCTAGGCAATCCTTCTGCTTTTTGAGAGTTGGATGCCTGGCTTGCATTTTTGAAGATGAAGTTTGCCAACCTGGGGAAAATACCATTTTGGTGTCAACAAGACCTGATACAGATATTATTTGGGTTAGGTATATGTTACTGAGCACGTGGGGGCTTGGATTAAACTGACTGGACTTTTGTCCGCATAGATATGTAAAACTGATCTCCACCCAGGCGGGGGGGGGTGTTGTGTGTGAGAGAATGATAGATAAAGAACATACATCACCTGGTGCATAGCAGATGCTGAGGACAGCAGGAGCAATAGTTGGGTTGTTTGTTAGTACTTGAGACTCTTCCTCACAGTGCCTGTCCGTGTGTGTGTGTGTGTGTGTGTGTGTGAGGGTGGAGAATGAAGGTGTAAGATCTGTGCAGGATGCTGTGGGGTCGTAGACCCCTTAAAGGAATTGTGAGTGAGCTCGGTGTGCTTAGAATATGTGGGGAATTGTTATGTTTTAAGCTTCAACATTCATGCTAGGGATGAAATAATAGAGAGGATCAAATACTACTTTAGCAACAAAGCCAGCACTGAAGTTAGCAAGGTGAGTTGGTCACCACACATGCTTTAACAATAATACGGGCATTCATGTAAGAGGAGCTGAGTGTGTGTTTATAATCAAGGTGATCACCCTTTTCCCCATTCTCCTCCCACAAAAGGGTCAGATTCAGCAATCTTCAAAGATTCTGTACTCTAGAGCAACTTTTGATCCAACAGGATACCATTTTCTGACCCTTAGCAACTCCCCCTTCCCAAATGCTCCTTCTGTGTAGAAATAATGTTGGCTAGTCTTTGAATAAACTACTACTCATTAAATTACCCTTCAACCAATGATGAAATGTAAGCCATTAATCACCATTACCAGAATGACTGCTGCCAATATTTTAATTATTGCTTGCATAGCCTGGCCCCAAGCTCCAACTATCGGCAAACTTATGCATACCAGTCATCTTCCTTTACTTAAAGGACTGCTATGCAGAGTGGCAAGAACACTGCTCAGGGACAAAACATTGACTGTGACCTGCATGGAAACTAAGAATGACCACAGACAAGTTTCTTAATTTTTCCAAGTCTCAGATCTGTTGTATATGAAGTAGGCATAGCTTGACTCCTTCCAGGATCACATTTCATGTATAAAAGAAAATATTTGTAGGTGGGGGTATGTGAACATAAGGTTTTTGTACCCAAATCAGTGGACTTTTTTTGTCTATGTGCTGCTGAACAAAACAAAAAGTCCCTATGTGTTGCTGAACAAAGTAAACCAGTGTTGACAATGGCACTCTATTCACTGTCAAAATCTTATCTGTAGCTGTTTCTGCTATTGAGTTAAAGCTGTGATGAGTAGATGCTGCAAGGTCTATTTCAGGTCAATTCTGGGGTGGGGGAAACAACCCCACAAGGAGGCGGTGAAAGAGGAGGAACAAGAATAAAATAGCCAGATTGTGAAATAACCCATGTAAGGCTTGAGCTGCTGATCATGGCCTTTCTGTTCTGATCAGCCTGAGCTCTGAGATTCCTACAGCTGGAACAAAGAGCAGCTATTTCCCCCCAAACTCCTGAAAGCTTATTCTGAAAATGATGACTTTTTTTCATTCACAATTGAATGAGGAAGTCATCCAGCTACCTAAAATAATCGTTTTCACCCTATTGTTCTTCTTTAGAAAAGCCTTCAGTAATTGTCCATGAGCTAAAAATAAATATTGGATTGTAATCTAGGGCCCACCTCCCACTCACCACCACCAGCCTCTCCTTATTTACCTTCTGTCTATTTTACATCCAGGGAAACCAACTAGGTTGGTTTCCTCCCTAAGTAGCTGACCTTTCCTGATAATAACTTTGCTCACTCCTTTTTCCTCCTCCCTGAAAGGAGTCTCCCTACTTAATCCCTACTTCTCATGCATAATCTTAATCCTACCTGAGCCTTAGGGTCTGTCTTAAATCTCCTTCCATGCAGTCTTTCCCACTCATGTCTCCTCTGCGCTGCTATAGCCTTTCCTCATCACATCTGTCATGGGGCTTCTTCATCACCACTCAATCCCAGAGACCAGTCAGGTCATTTCTGCTGGCCGGAACCTGTCCCAAGCATCATTCCACTTTCTCTCCATGGACGTGAGAAAACCAGCTAAAGGTGCCCATCTTAAGCTTCAGAGGACTGTGGCCAGCAGGGGAGACGGCACCTAGAATCATGGACTCTAGCCAAAGAGGTAGGCATGCCCAGCTGCTCTGTTAGGAGATGACTCAGTCAAAAAGAAAGTGGTTACACCTCAGTACTCACTGTGCTGGGAAGAACCCCAGCTTGAATTCCTTTTTCCTTGGCTCTCATAATAAGGAAAAAGAGGGAAGAGATTCCAGTACTAACATGACACATACCAGGCATTGTGCCACGCACCAGAGGTGGATGATCTTATTACATTCCCACAAGGGTCTCACGAGGTTAGTACAAGTTGAGTATCCCTTATCTGAAATTCTGGGTGTTTTTAGTCTTTGGAATTTTGGAATATTTGCATAGACTTTACCATCTTCACATTCCTAACATGAAAATATGATGTCTGAAATGATTTAAAATTAGAAATTGTTAGAGTGTCATGTGAGCACTCAGAAAGTTTTTAGATCTTAGAGCGCTTTCAGATTTGGGATTTTCAGATTAGGGATGTGCAGCCTCTGGTATCTTTCTCTCCACTCAGAGCTGAGGAAACGTAAATTTAGAGACAGGAAACAGCTTGTCTAGTGTCTGAGTGAAAGGCAGACTGGGTTTCATTTGAATCCAGCTGTATCTGAGTTCAAAGTCTACGAGATTTTTTTTCATTGGTTTTGTTTTTATTTTTTTAATTTTTTGTAGAGAAGGTGGAAAGTTATTTTTATTTCCACTTTAATTTTAATTGGTTTTTGTTTGTGGTACATAATAGTTACAGTCCTCATGGGGAGTTGGTAATGTACATATTGCATCTTCATCATTTTTGCTTTCCTTTCCCCTCCCATCCTTCCCTCTTACCTCATCCCAGATCCTCTTTCCATCTCTACAAAGTCTAGCTCCCTGTTTCCTATCATCTTTCTTTTATTTTGTTCTCTAACTTATTTATATTTTGAGTTTCTCATATAAGGGAAACCATGTGATATTTAACTGTGTCTGATTTATTTCACTTAACTTTAGACTCTCAAGATAAATCCATTTTCCTACAAATGACTCAAATTTATCTTTCTTTGTGGCTGAATAGTACTGCATCTTGTTTACACCCGTGGTTTTTAAAGTGTGGTCCTCAGAGCAGTAGCATTGGCATCTCCTAGATAATTGTCAGAAATGTAAATGCTTGGGCCTTACGTAGGTCTTGCTGCAACAGAAACTCCAGACATAGGGCCCAGAAATCGGGGCCATCACAAGTCCTGGTGCTGCACACTCCAATTTGAGCACTACTGTTCTACGCTTTTCCTCCCACCAGGAGCACCCCCCTGCCAAGTTGTCCTGGAAACCATACTAACATGGGAAACTTTCAAAATGCTGACTAGTGGTAGACCCCTGCCTGGGCCACAGTCCCACCTGACCTGGCCCACCTGACTCCTTTCAAGTCACACCCAGAGTTTTAAGAATGCCTAAATTCAGATGGAATTTTAAACAAAGAAAAAATTTTAAATCCCTCACATCTTTGTTGACACGGCTTGTCGCCCCCTAATCATTCTTGTTGGATTTGCTCTATGCCTATGTTGACTGCCTGTACTGCCGAATTTCCACTGGGTGTTGTGTTCTTGGTCATTCATTCTTCATCTATTTAATAAACACTGTGGATGTCATGTGTGTGACAGGCATGGCACAAGGGGTATGTTTGAACAGTGAGTTGGAGACCAATGCAGGTGCCGTCTGAGTGCCTTGCGTGAGCAGGAAGGAGCTACCTGAGGGTAGGGCACGATACTCTGGGAAATAGGAAAGCCCATCTTCCAGCAAGCTGCTTGAAAAGGTGAGGTACAACTGAGGAGCTGTGGACAGACTGGTAATGGAGAAGAGTGGACGGCTCGCGGATGACGTGGAAGAGGACTCCAGGCCGAGTGAACCGCTCCAGTGAAGAGCTGGAGGAATCATCCCAGCACAGGGAGCACAGTCCAGAGTGGCTGCAGCCTTGCGTGAGAGTGGGGTGTGAAGAGAGATGAGACATCAGAAAAGGCAGGAGGCCCACTGGAGGGACTTTTTTAGGCCTGCTGGTGGAATTTGAACTTTAGGGGAATGCGAAACCACTTTAAGAAGAGAAGTGATGTGGAAAAATACATGAACAAGATCACTCCAGGGCAGATATAGCTTATTTTCATACAATTCTTACTGTTGGATGTGCCATCACTGCTCATGGGCTGTAAGCTCTTGAGAATTTTCCTTTCTCTTTTTCTCCTTTGCCTTACCAGGGTGCTGAGGGCTATCTCCATTCTGTCCCCTGCCAGGGGAGAATCAGACCCTGCCTGTGAGCTCCCAACCTGTCAGGCAGGAGGGAAGGCAGGTGTTTTGCTTACTGCATTGCTTTTATTACTCCACGCACGAGGAGGTAGGTTGCCTTCGACCCCATTCTCTGCTCTTACCTGCAGGATGCCTGTCTTTGCTGGTGACAGTCCAGGACACAGAACGCTATGTCACCCTGTTTGCCTCCGTTACCCTCAAATGTGACTACACCACCTCTGCGCAGCTCCAGGACGTGGTGGTGACCTGGCGGTTCAAGTCCTTCTGCAAGGACCCCATCTTTGACTACTTCTCCGCCTGTGAGTTCCCTCCCACTTTATGTTCAGCCCAGAGCCCAGGCATCTCCGTGATGTACCATTATTGGGGTGAAGAATTAGTTAAGATCACAAATCTTCATAGTGAGAAGCCAAAGAGATACAGTCCCTCCAGTTTCTAGATAAACTGAACCCAGGCTAACAACATAACTTGCTCAAGGTCAGATACTAGTTTAATTTCAAAACGTCGTTTCACCTTGTTCTAAAAAAATAGTTAAGGCAGCTCAGATAGTCTATAAAAGGTAGGGCAAGTCCTGCCATCTAGTCCATTCCTGGTTTACGCCAGCATCATGATGCAGACCTGCCCCCCATCACCCCACCACCTTTCAATGCAGACAAGAAGACACCTCAACCTTCTCAGGAGGTAAGATCTGAGTGGTCACTGGTGAAGCCCTGCTATGGCCACATCCCCTTCCTGGGTCAGCCTTCCTGGGGACGGTCCTTCCTCAAATGAGTACTCTGAATGTCAGAGAGCTCTCTGTCCCCAGCAGCCCTTTTGCAGTTGGGCGTGTCAGTGCTGCCGAGCCAGGCCCTCCCTGTGAGTAACAACTGCCTGAATGCAGAGCTCTTCCATAGCTGCCCATTTCTGCCCTCTCTCTAGAAACAAAGGAAGTCAGCAGCCAGCAGTCAGCTGGCGACAACCTTTTAGAAATTTTGAAAATAGAACCAGACCCCTTAGAGCAGTGGTGGCAAACCTATAGCATGCGTACTGCTGCAGGCACACAGAGCTCTCCGTCTGCACACAAGCCAAGTCACCCCAGCAGCCCACACCATTGTATAACAGCTATGTTTTATAAACTAAAACCTCAGTATTCAGGTTTATTTGCAGTGTTGGCACTTTATGATAAATAAGTGGGTTGGGGGTTGCAGTTGGAGCACTTGGTCTCGAGAAGTTTCACCATCACTGCCCAGGAAGAAGTGAGTGTCCTGAGATGAGGCAGAGGGAGCCAGAGACATCATCAGCTTTACCATCTGTAGCCTGGGGCTAATGTCTTCAGTAGGATTTGTGTAGAACCAGAATATCTAATTATCTGAGCCACTCACTGTTCCTGAAATTGTCCCCAAAAGACTCCCCAAAGACATTATTCCCTGGGGGTTACTCTTAAAGTGCCTGGGCTAAGAGGGAAGGGAAGAGAGATTAGAATAGGAGGCATTGGGCACCGTGGGGTTTAGCAGCTCTTCTCTCTTCTGTTGTAAGGACAGGTGAATGAGCATTGTGGGATCAGAGGCTATAAGACGTGAGATGGGGGAATACAGCCAAGACTTGCAAATGATGCCCTCTTAGGGGGTCTGAGTTTTGCTTACAGTGGGGTTTCTGTCATCATGTGTGCTTGCTGGGCATCAGCTGGACTCAGTGTGGCTTCTCTCCTCAGCGTACCAGGCAGCACTGTCTCTGGGTCAAGACCCCTCCAACGACTGCAATGATAACCAGAGGGAAGTGCGCATTGTGGCCCAGCGGCGGGGGCAGAATGAGCCGGTGTTGGGGGTGGATTACCGACAGCGCAAGATCACTATCCAGAACCGTGAGTGCGGGGGAGGCGGTGGGGGAACTCGAGGTGGAGGAGATACAGACACAGGCCTGGGAGGCTGAGTCAGCACGGGATTTCCCATTCTGTTCTGATCTACAGGGGCACTGTCATTGTTTGAGAAAAGTGCCAGATTCTTAGAATGTGCTGTGCTGGCTGCAATTACTTCCCTGGAACTTGCTGTGTGAATCGGAGGATGTTCTGTGGAGCAGGTTAAAGGTCTGGGTGGGTTCCTTGGCTTTCTTGAGATTCAGAGTGAGGTGTGGATTGGTGCTTTTGATACTTTCCACAAACTGCTGTCAAGGTCCAATCCAAGCCCAGGTCCCTGGGTCCCAGTCTGGCCACTTCTGTTGCTTATACAACGGAAATATGGGCTTGTGAGTAGGCCACCACATTAGACCACTGTCCTCATTGATAGAAGAAGGAGCACTGGGCTGGTATAAAAAGCCCTCTGTGAAAATACCAGTGCTTCTGCTCACTAGCTCGGTGGTGAGCGCCAGATCAGTTATCTTCCCTGGTTTCTCTTTCCTCATATGAGAGACGAAGGTCTGGCTCCCCACTCTGAAGTGCACAGGGAAAGCCATGTCTGTAAAATAGGACTCGGGCCAGTACCCATCTCACAGAGAGCGTAGGACCGAGCAAGATATTGTGTAAAAATAACTCAGCAGGCAGTGAGTGTGCAGTGATCATTAGTTACCAGTCGGTACACGCTGGGCGGATGGGTTCGTGCCTCTCGTTCCTAACGTGTAATCCAGCATTACTGCAGGGAGTCATTGGTACAGTATTAAAACCTTATTTCAGTGAGACTGATGTGCTGTTTTAAAAATTTTGCTAGTTAAAAGAAAAAAATGAGAGAGGGCACCCATCTGCCTGCTCAGGGGTCCCACAGTTCCAACGTGAGGAAATCAGTGAATATTCTACTCTATGACCATTTAAAGGTAGATCACTTAGCAGTGTCCTCATTGCTGTCAATTTTGTAATACTTAAAGCAGATCCTTTTACATCCAACCTCTGATTTTCCTAGGCTAGCCCTTGAACCCTTGTCCTTAGGGAATATCTGTTTCAGTCTCCGAGGGCAAAGATTCAACTTGTGGCTCTACTTTCTACAGAGCCAGGAGTATTATTTTTGACCTGACCCCAAAGGTTAAGCATCTTTCATTAACAAGTCCCATTTATAGTTTTTGAAGGATGAACAAACCAATAGATGACAGTTTCTGCTCTTCTATTTTTATCTAATTCTAAACAGCACCTTCCACTACCTGTACTACCTTTGGGTCAAACCCAGCCTTTTCCTCACTTCCAAAGGGAAGCTGTACTTCCCCTTGGGTTTTATTTCTACCTCTGGGCTTGTTGTGAATTCCTGGAACACTTGTTCTCTGTTACTTTCAGGCCTGTGTTTTTATGATTTGAGATAACTCTCAAATCAGTCGTTGGATCTTCTAAAACATTAACATACCTCGATACCCTTCTTATGCTGACATTATTCAGGTTTATAATGCTCATTAAGCTTTAGGAGGACTTTTGCCCAAAGCACTTTCACCATTCTTTCAAGTCTGAGGTGAGCTTGTTCATGGGAAAGATGGTGGGTTTGGAAAATTATAGATAGGAAAAAGTGTGCAGGGATTGACGTAAAAGAGAAGGAAACAGAAGTCAGAATTTGCTCCAGTGTTGCATGACTTCGTGTTTTTGTTTCATTTCCTCAATAACTTGACAGATAATAAAGACTTATAGACGTAACCATTAACTAAGAAAGAACAAGTCTGTCTTGCTAAGGTCTTTAGGAATCTGAAGATGTCCTCCTGCACTCACTGAGGCCGAGAGCAGATTCGGCCATCCCTTTTGGATGTGGAGGGGTCCTGTTGCCTGAGGCTGGCTATTAAACCCTTCCAGAACAAAGAAAGTCTCATTCCTCTTCAATGTTCCCACAGTGCCTGACATAATGCTGAACGTACAAAAGGTCTTGAGTAAACATTTGTCCAGTTTGCTAAACTGGAATATATGTTAATCTTATGGGGTATCAAGATATTCAGGGCTCATAGGACTTAAATTCTTTTCTTGGGTATGACTTACTCTTAAAAAAATTGGTATTCCATCCATATTGATTTAACTTCATCTTATAACCTTTCAAGATCCAGGAGTGAAGGGTTCAGGCTGTGGTGTTTCCTACCCAGTTTGGAAAAGTTAATAGAGCCTAATATTTAAGAGCCACCAGCTCTGAGTTAGAGAGACACAGGTTTGGACCCACTTCTACTAAGTACTATTATCTGTATGTTATTTGCCAATTCCTGAGCCTCTTTGTGTCTTTATTTTCATCATCTGAACTGCAGCCAAATAATCACACTTCTTTATCATTTAAGATTGTTTGTTTATCAGTAAGCAAAAACCCCAAAATATTCATGACTTAGGCAATAAAGAACTTTGTATCTCTCCCATGTGTAGAACCAGAGGCATAGACAGTCCAGACCTAAGGTGGGATTTTTGCTCCATTAAGTCCTCAGAGACCCAAGTTCTGTCCACTTGACCAAAAATATCACCTTCCTCCTCATCCAAGCTGCCAGCTATAGTAGTCCATTTTCTGTTACTATGACAAGATGCCTGAAGCATCTTTCTTTGTAAAGAAAAGGGGCTTATTTAGCTCATATTTTTGGATGTTGAAAGTCCAAGATTAGACAGTACCATTGGTTCAGGCTCTAGTGAGGGGCCCCTTGGTGGGATCATCACATAGATGGTGGTATAATGGTAGGAGTATAATCAAGGGAGATCATATGGAAGGGTAGAAAGCCATAGAGCAGCAAGGGACAGTTTTGCTTTTTTACAACAACTCACCCTTTCAGAAATTAACTGGGGTCTCTTCCCAGGGCAGTATCTTCAGTGACCTAACTGCCTTGCTCTCAGCCCTCCTTTGAAAGGTTCCACCACCTCCCAACATTACCACACTGAGGCTCAAGGTTCCAGCACATGAACCCTTGGGGACAGGCTGAGACCTGCCTAAACCATAGCACCAGGTAACAGAGCTGGAAGGAAGAAGAAAGGGCAATGGTGTTAACAATTTATTTTTAAGAAAGTTCCTGGGAAGCATTATATGACACTTCTTATATTCTATAGGCCAGAACTGAGTCACTTGTCCGTGTCTATATATAAGAGAGGATGGGAAGCATGGATTTTATTCCAGGGCCTTATTTCAGTCTGTTTTGTGCTTCTATTACAAAATACCCGAGACTGGGTACTTTATACTAAGCGGAAATGTACTGTGTTTGTTCACTGCTCTGGAGGCTGGGAAGTTTGAACTTTGGCAAGGGTCTTACTCTGTGTCTTAATGTAGCAGAAGGTGAGAAGACATAAAGGTACCAGACTCACCCTTTCATCATAGCCCTAATCCCACCCTTCTGTGTGGCTTCCACACAGCCCAGTCATCTTTTAAAGGTCTCGTGTCTTAACACTGATACAATGACAATAGAATTGCCATGTGAGTTCTAAAGTGGACAAATATTTAAACCATAGCAGGTGCGTATATGGCCAAACATTCTGTGATCATGGGAGAAAGGGAAAAGATACACCGGAAGACAACTGGTGATCTCTACTTCACCTCCTTACAGGGTGGTGGTGGGAATGAAGTGGAGTGATTGATCTAGAAGCCTTATGAAGCACGTAGAGGGGCCCAGTGAGTAGTAAGCACTACCATCACGCTCCTGTTCAGAGAAAGAGGAAGGTCTCAGAAGAAGAAAATCAAACCTTTCTCTTACCTACCAGGGTTTCTCTTAGGACGTCAAAGGGTAATGCCAAAACCTTGAAGGAACCATCAGTCAGAAACCATGCTTTATCCTCTGGTTCCTGGCACTTCCCCCTTCCTTCCTGTGCAGGAGCGGATCTTGTGATTAATGAAGTGATGTGGTGGGACCACGGAGTATATTACTGCACCATTGAGGCTCCCGGGGACACATCTGGAGACCCAGATAAGGAGGTGAAGCTCATCGTCCTGCGTAAGTGCTGCTGGCACTTTCTATGATGTCACCGTAACACTTTCAAGTGTACGAAAAGCAATGACCCAAAACAAAAACAAAAACAAACCTGTATTATTGTCGTTTGTGAGCCACAGAGTTCCTTTATCAAAGCTAAGTGGGGTTCTTTTGTTTGTTCGCTTGGGTTTTTGTTTTGTTTTGTTTTGTTGCCAGTCTGTTGCTCAGTGTTAGCCTGTAGATCAAGAGAGTTGGAACCAGAGACAGCCCCGTATATTGTTCACCGCTGCTCGGCTTCTCCCCACTAGACTGGCTGACAGTGATCTTCATCGTCCTGGGAGCTGTCCTCCTGCTGCTGCTGATTGGAATATGCTGGTGCCAGTGCTGCCCACAGTACTGCTGCTGCTACATCCGCTGCCCCTGCTGCCCCGCCCGCTGCTGCTGCCCTGAGGAAGGTGAAGCAGGGACAGAACAGCGGTGGGGTGGGGTGGTACTGGTGTGCCCAGTACTCCAAGTAGATGGGCTTACCATGTGCACAACAAAGCCCTGGGCTCTTCCAGGTTCTCCTCTGTGTCTACTTCTATCATAGGTTCCAGGAATACTAATCTCAGTCCTGTAAATGCTGCCCATAGATCTATAGAGTCACATGGGAGGTGGCAACAGGAGGGTTTTTCCCTGCTGACCTGCTAGGCTGCCTGAAGCCTCTTTCAGATGGCTCTGCCTACTGATGACCTTTCCTCAGTGATGCTGAGATTGGCCTGGGGTATAGTTATAGTTATATCTATAGTTATAGTTATATTTGGGGCTTTGCCCCTAATACTGACCCTGCTTAGACATGAGATGGTCAGAGCAATTATGTGAATGAAACAATGAGAGAAAAGTCTACTTTAAAAAATACTACTTAACTTTTTTTTTTTGGAGACAAGGTCTTGCTTTTGATACCAGATGTGTGTCTAGATACCAACCCTACCAGATACTAACAGGATAGCCTATGATTTAATTCTCTGACACGATCTACCAGAGTTAGCAACAGATCCCACAGTCTGCCACAAGACTGCTCCCCACATCAGGTGGAAATCCCGAGTAGGAGGTGGTTACCTGAACTTTTGACCAACTGACTATAAACTGAGGGTGCCTAAAACCCCCTCTTCAGATTGTTTTAATCTGCTAGAGAAGCTTCCGGAACTTAGAAACACTTCACTTACCACTTACACTTACCCACTTAGTACAAAGGGTGTAGTGAAGGATACAAATAAAGAGATACACGTGGCCATGGATGCAGAGGCAGACGTGGATTACTGCACCTTCTCCAGGGCACAGACCCCAGACACCTCTAATATTCAGCTACCCAGAAGCTCCCTGAGCCCCTATGCCCTTTTAAGTTTTTATGGACCCTTCACTAGAGAGGCATGATTGATTAAATCACTGGCCATTGGTGATCAGCTCAACTTTCAGCCCTTCCCACCCCAGAGGTCAGGGGATGGATCTATCTGAAAGTACCCACCCTGTAATCACGAACCGGTCTTTCTTGTGGGCAGCCCCCATCCTGAAGCCACCTAGGAGGTCCCCACCCACCAGCCATCTCATTAGTGTACCGAAGATATTCATCACTCTGGAGAGTCCAAGGATTTTAGAAGCTATATGTCAGGGACCATGTGCAGAAATATATTTTTAAATTCTATTTTATTTTCATAGCATTTCTTAAATAAGATGTGAAAAGAGCAGAGTAGAAAGGTATTAAGGCAGTGACACCTAAACTGAAGCTCTCCATCACCAGCCTTTTTTATTTTTTTGAGACAAGATCTTGTCAAGTTGCCCAGGCTGGGTGTGAACTTGCATCCTTCCTGCTTCAGCCTCCCTCAGTGCTGGGATCACAGGCAAGCTCCACTGCACCCAACTTGCTCTTGATGGATTCCTCATTTGAATTAAAACCTGATCCTTCAAAACAAGCTATAAAATTTGGCAAAAGAATACACGGCAAAGGCAAAAGAATTAATGAAGTATTCTATAAAGATCTTTTATTAGTAAACAGATGGAGTGGAATCAATTGTTGTAAATGGAAGTTTTTGTTTCCATTTTAAATAACAATCTCCTTCTACTGACCATATGCTACCACACTGTAGAAAATTTGCAAAATTCAGAAAAGTGTGGGCTAATCTGAACAGCCACAGACAACCACTCTTACCCTTTTGGTCCACTTGAAAGAAAACTCTGAAAAGGGAAAATAAGGAATTGCCCCGTATAAGAGAAACAAAAACTTAAGCTTCCTTAAGAAGGTCGATTGTCTGAGTCTGCTTTCAGGCCTGTGCTCTAAGATTGCCATCTTACAGGAAAAGAGAACTAACTTTTATTGGATAGCACCATGTGTGTAGCCTTTTCGTGCATTTCCTCACTGCATGCTAACAACCCTAGAAGGCAGATGCCATCCCTCTTTCACAGGGGAGGAGCCAGAAGGTCAGAGAAGTCTTGCAGCTAGTAAGTGGCAGAGGAAATATAGGGTTTAGTGCGTGTACATATGGCTTGTAAGTGTCTGTGTGTCTCACCCAGGTGCCACCCAGCTTCTGTGGGTAGATCACTGTGGGATCCATTGAGACAACATGAACTCCTTAAAGAGGGCCAAGTAGCAGAGAATTCAGTGTTGGGCCGTGGGGTTCCTACTGTTCAGAGGCATCAGGGGGAGAGGCCATCGGGAATCCTCTGTCACTGGAGTAGGTATGGGAGATGAGATGAGACTAATTTCGCAGGATGCCTTCTTAGAATTTGTAGACCCGTGGGACACTGAGATCCAGCAAGACTGGGGACAAAGCTAGCGCGGGGGAAAATGCATCCAGTCAGTGGGCTGACAGGTTCTGGGGAGAGTGTTTTTTTCCCAGGTGCTTGGAGTTCATTTAAAAGAACTTGGTGAAATGAAGAAATGCAGGCCACAAAGACCTCTGGATGATGAGGTCACTTTCAAAGTGAGTCACTGTTCTGAGAAGTTTGGTGGCAAGAGAAATTACATCAAAGGGCAGGGATTGTTAAGGAAAACACTATGATTGGAGGGGAAGGTTTTTTGTTGGTGTTACTCTTGGTTATCTTGGTTCTTTTAGACCAAGATAACCCTGAACATATCTGTAAGCAAAGAACCAAGGCCAATAGCATAAGAAAGTGAAGAAGTTAAGAAGTGAAGTAGCCACTGATGCGTGATGGCATTAGGCCTGCCGAGAAAGATCTAGCCTAAGAAAGGGAAGGGGAGGGAGGAAAGGTGGCCTGACCTCTGGAGACAGAGAGGAAGTCATTAAGCGTAAAGGATGATTCAGGTAGAAGGGAGGAAGCTCACATGAGCCTGTCTCGATTTCAACAAATCAGAGTGGCAGATGTGGAAGGGACCTTTGAGGAGGAGGCTAGTGATTCTGGAACTTCTCTAACCACAGCCTAACTCCCCAGCCTCCTCCCACTTTCCCACGAGAGTTATCACAGGGTTGGAAGGGACAACAATAAAAATGATACCAAATGTTAGTAGCCCTTGATCATCCACGTAGTCCTGGTAAGCGGTCTTCAGTAGGATTTATAGAGGAAAATTTTGGAAACTGAGTGTTAACTTTTCCATGAGAATTAGAGAAGCTGCTTTCACCCCTAGAGGTGGGTTCCTCTCTAGAGAACCTGGAGACACACTCCACGTGAGCCACAGGCCACCCTGAGAATCTCTGACTCCCCCTCCCCAGCCCCCACAGCTGAGGGAAGTAGGCCCTGGAGAGACGTCCTCAATTGCGCAACATTTTTGTGGTGAGGCCCAGACTAGACTTACATCTCTTGACTCCTTATGCAGGGCTGGTTCCTTGCCCTTAACAAAGATATCATGAGCTGAAAGTTCACAGGGAGGGAAAGGCCTGAGATGTGGGGAGTGTTTAACTGGTGCTGGAGAGGAAGGAACATATATTCAGCAGACAGAGCAACCAAGGAAAGCCCTACTGGGAAGAGAGCTACTTGAGATTAGTGTCTGAATGGAGCCAGAATGCACCTACTGGTGGTTCCCTACAGCTAAATGGCAAGAGCTCAAAGGGACACAGGTTTCCAGGAAGCTCCTGAGGATGCCGCTGAAATGACTGACCAGTGAAGTCAGGAGAAATTGATAGTTTGGAAAAAGCAAAAGCAATGAGTGGCCACGGGCTAAAGGAGGGGCAAAGGATAGGTTTTTTGTGAAGGGCATGGAAAGTTTGAAGTCTGAAGGATCCCCGTGCTGTGTGTTTGTGGACACAGAGGATGCCAGGGGTGAGGGAGAAAAGGTGCGGTTCTGGAGTAGGGTGGGGTGTCAAGCGTCATTTCTGTCACAAAGCGCTCGTCTTAAAGAATATCAGAGATGGAAATTAATACACCTCTGATGGTTTAGTCTCTAAATGCATATGTTTGTTTCCTCCTATGAGACCTGAGACAAAAGATACAGTTTATTATAATGAGAGCCACTGTGAGTCCTCTCTATTAGGCATTTCTCGTGCATTGCCTCTTTAATCTCAACAGCTTTGTGAAAGAGTTCTCCTTAGCTAAGAGTGGGCTGAGACTCTGGAAACTCACTCAAAGCCACGTGGCCAGTATATGCCTGTGTGTACACTGAAGTCTGTCTGATTCTCAAAGCCTGTATTTAATGGTGTTTATTTCAAAGTATTAGGAGCCCTCAGTAGTCAGCTCTAGGTTGCCTCCCAGCATTGAATCAGGGACTTGGTTGAAAATGCACATCTTCTTGCCTTGTGTCAGAGTAACTGAGGGAAAGTGTCTGGATGTGGGACCCAAGGAAAGGGTTCAGTGGTACCAGGTGGAAGATCCCAAGGTTCAACGAAAGGAGTGGCAGAGGGCAGGGTTGTTCTCAGTGGAACTGGATGTCTCCGGTCTTGGGGACAGAGACTAGCATGGGTTTTGAAAGGTGTGGGGCTGAGCTTGAGAGAGGTAAACCAAGGAGGTTCTGCAGGCGAAGGTTTTTTTGTGGAGTTTTATTATTTTGATTTTTTTTTTTTTTTGCTTCATCACAGAAAATGAAGTCTGGAGACTTGGCAGTGTGGCAGAAAGAGGCAGATACAGGTTTGCACCCTGGCTCTGCTAGTTGCTGGAGGACCTTGGGCTAGAAAGGCAACGTCTTTGAGCCCAGCTTTCTCGACTGATCCCCACATTCAGAGATTTCCCAGAGGATGAGTTGGCTGGTGACCATGTGTATTGACAGTTTATGTGTGTCCGTGGTGGCCAGTAGAGGGAGCTCGGGAGAGGCATCCCTTAGGGAGAGCAAAGTGCTGAGTAGGATTTGTCTCCGGGAAGGCCGAGCGCTGTCGGTTGGCACGAAAGGGTGGCAGCTGGCTAAGTTGTTGTGAGTTTGCATCTGATTTCCTCCCAGCCTGGCTACGGTTCACCATCGGGGCCGGAGCGCAGATACTTCTGGGGTCTCTGCTGCAGCCACTTCCTGTTGCGCTGGAAGTTGTTTCACAATGGAGCCACCCATGACCCCTCAGACGGCCCCCTTGCCACTAGCCTCAGCAAACCTCCCACTAGGCATAGCTAGATTGCCTGTCTTCTGCCTCCTCTGCAGTGCCAGGGGAGCCTCAGGCAGCACCCTGCTGCTTTAGGGGAGTCCACAGGGCCTGGCCCTCGGAGGAGGGTGTGAGAGCATCAGCCCGGGCCTGTCATTCATAGCGCAAGGGCAACGTGCAAGTGCATCTCCTGCATGCGTGAATAGGCAGCAAGCTTGGGAGCCAGGCGGCACTCAGCCACAATTGCCTCAAAATAGAAATTCATGAACAAAAACAAATGTGTGTATTTTTAATTTGTGCTCATTATAGTTTGTGTGCTTCAGAACAGCTGCACCTAGGAGACTGGGCTGACGTGTCTGTGGACCCCTGGTGCTCCTTTTTGCACTATTTTCTTTGCCCTGAAAGGGGTGGTATTTCCCTTCCCGCTTCCCTGCCCTTCCCATCCTTTAAAGATTCGCTCTATGTAGAGAAAACTGCAGTGCTCAATAAGGTGAAGAGAAGAGTAGAAAGGGTCAGTACCTCACATTCCCTCACTTTCCTCCCACAGGTTCTGACCCACCCGGGCTGGCGTTCCAGCCAGAAGTACGCTTCAGTGCCATATGCTTCCCTGTTCCTCCCACTCTGAACAGGCAGCCCTGAGCTTGCCGGCCCCCAGCCCCTGACTCACACCTCCTTTAAGCCCTTTGCATTTGCACCTTCTACTTCTGGCTTTTGGCTTCTGATTTTGCTGGCCTGTGCCCTGAGATTTCATCGTCTGCTAGTACCCATGATATCTACCTGTGCACTCTAGGTGTGCTTGGGAGTGGGCAGGTAGGAGGCGGAAATGGTCTTGAGGTTGGAAGCGAGATTTTAAGAGTGTACTTTCCTGGAGGATGGGAACTACAATCTTATCTGGAGGAATTTTATTCCTAGCCCCTTGCCAGAGACACAGTGGGTTTGTTATTCCCTTAATGCTTATTGTCCCGCAAGATAAGGAGCGCACTTGGAGGACAGCAGCCGGCCACATGGCATGACTGGTAGGTGGACAGAAGTGAAGAGGAAGGTGCAGCTTGCCCTGGCTGAGGGTCTGCATGTCTCCCTCTTCCCCTGCAGCCCTGGCCCGCCACCGCTACATGAAGCAGGCTCGGGCCATAGGTCCTCAGATGATGGAAAAACCCCTGTTCTGGGGTTCGGACAGGAGCTCCCAGGTCTCATCTTATGCAATGAACCCGCTGCTGCAGCGAGGTAAACCTTGCCGAGCCTTGGGCAGGGGAGGGCAGGGAGCAAGGGTAGGAGCCTGGGCTTCATCGGGCCTCCGTGGGTCTCTTTATGATTGAAGATGGGAGGGAATGGAGTTGGCCAAATAATGTGATATTTTGATGTCCTAAATCGGAGGAGCATGACTTGGGTCAGCAGTTTGGTATGTTCTTTTCTTGTCTCCATTCAGATTTATCCGTGAGATCCAGCCTCCCCAAGATGCCAATGACTCAAACCGCTGCTCACCCTGCCGTCACCAATGGTGTCCTGGAGTATTTGGAGAAAGAACTCCGGAACTTCAACCCGGCGCAGCCCCTGCCTCCCGACCTCAAAGCCGGACCTGGCCACCCCTGCAGCATGCTGTCCTCCCTGGGCTCTGAGGTTGTGGAACGCAGAATCATCCGCCTGCCCCCGCTGATCAGAGACCTGCCGTCCTTGAGAAGGGCCAGCGACTCATCGCACCAGCAGTGGCTCAACCCGGTTCCCTCCAGACCCTGGGATCTGAGGGAGGGGAGAAGGCAGCATCACTCCTCCGATTTCCTGCAGGAGCTCCAGGACCGAGGGTCAAAATCCTGGGCATCTGGAAGAAGGGAGCTGGACCACCCAGCAAGCGGAAGGCACCGCTGCTCCAGGAGGCACGGGTCACCTGCGGCCTGGTCAGACCCAGACAGCCTCAGTGATGGTCCCTCGTCCAGTGAAGCGCATTGGCGGCCCAGCCATCTTCATCCCCGCAGCCACCACAGGGAGAGGTCCCGCAGGGCTAGCCCGGAGCAGGACTACAGGAGGGCCAGGAGACGCCGGCCCCGAAGCTACTCCCCTCCCGTGCCCTCTGGCCTCAGTTCCTGGAGCTCTGATGAGGAGAAGGAGACGAGGCCCAGAGACAGGGGCTCCCGAAGCCGCCATGGCCACTCTCGTTCCCCAAACTGGCCTGAGGAGAAGCCGCCCAGCTACCGCTCACTGGATGTCACTCCAGGCAAGAATGGCAGGAGTAAAGGGAGTGTGGAGAGGCGCTCGGTGGGTGAGCCTGGGGTGTCCTGCTGAGGGTCGGGCATGGGCAGAGAGGATCCTCCGGCCAGGCCTGGCACGGGGGACACAAGGCACCTTACCCACCAAGGAGGGTGCCTCCTCCCTGCTTGGCACAGACTTCCCTGTAGGCAGAGGGAGCCACCTCCTGTTAAGGCTGAAGCAATCTAGGCGGTACCCGGGCTTGGCTCACAAAGGGCCTTTTCGGACTCAGTGGCGATCCAGAGCCCCTCATAGCCCTGCAGGCAGGTCAGCAGAGGATGCTGTTTCACAGATGAGGAAACAAGGCTCAAGGCTCTGAATGATTAAACACCTTGTGAGTAGCGGAGCTGAGACTTGAACACAGGCCTTTATGCCTTGCACTTTACCTCCTGTCACAGCTGCCTGGCTTTACTTAGCAAGCCTATTTCCATACCCCAGATTAGAACAGGCAGCCGGCCTGGGGACACTCAAGTGAGTATGCAAAGCTTGGTGTGTCTGAGGATGAGGCCCTCTTTGTACCCCCTTGGGAAGGATCACTGATAAACAAACAAAGTCTAAACTTTAGGGAGCTGTGAACAGACAAGGTGCCAGTCATAGCTTCCCAGCCAAAAGGGGAACACACCGTGGGACTCAGGCCTTTGGACCTCTGGATATAGACATTTCTTCAGTTTTTAAAGATATGATTTTTTAAAAATCATTTTATAATGAATATACCCAAATGACAGTGGTAAAGGAACTTTATAAAGGATTGCCACGATTACTCAAAAGCAGTAATTACAACCAACTTACAACTACTGTACCCACAAAAATCTTTTTTTCTCTATTTGACCAAAATCTTTTTCTCTTTTGCTTCTGTTGAGATAATCAGAGGGAACCATAATGGGGCTTGAGAGAATAACATCCCAGCCTGGAAGGATAGTGTAAAAACTGTAGTGTCTCATGGGCTTTGAAGAATATGCCTCTCAGTCAGAAGTAGTGTCCAGCTGTAATTTTTAAAAAATGCTTGCACACATGGCGTGTGTAAAGGAGCAGTCCCCTGCGAGGAACCTCAGGCAGCTCTTTCTAGAGCAGACCTCGGAGAGAACAGGTTTTTGAGGAGGGCAGGGAACACCAGCAGGCATTTCTGAAATAATCAGTAGCAGTGTGTCACATTCTCACAGTTGTCCCATGAGAGGCAAAGATCAGCACTGATGCAGTGCCCCTGCTAAGGGCTCTGAGCTGTGGATCTCTCATGCAGCATTTGGTTTAATTCCTGTAGCAGCCCTTAATATAAGTCCACGCAGGACTATGATTTTTCTGACAGTCACTCACAGCTCTAAAATCCTTGTGACTATGACAACACAAGCAAAGAGAGTACTATTTGTTTTATTAGTCTCATTTACTGATGACACAACTGTTTCTTTATTGTTATGATTCAGAAAATTAAGTCCCGAGCGGCACTTTTTTTTGGAATTATCACAGACGCCTTTTATTCAGCACACTTTTGTTTTGTGTAATACACTCTGCATCATAATCTTAAAAGAATGGCTACAATGTTACTCTGAGTACATACAAATCAGGGACAAAAGACTCTTACAAAGAAGAAACAAACAGATAATAGCGCTGTGGATTTTTATGTATGTGCCACATTTTACTGCCATTTGTATAACAAAGCTCTAATTTTGTGAAGTTAAAAAAAAAAGAAAAGAAAAAGAAAATTAAATCCTGAAAAATACCAGAATTAGTCAAGGCTGGGAGAGCTCCAACTATACTTACTTTAATCTAGTAACTAAATATGTCTCTTCATTTTAACAGGGACAAAAAGTAATTTTAAAACGTTTTCATCCCCAGATCTAAACCTTATTTTCCCCTAAGTTAAATTTTTCTAAACTTTATTTTAAGTTAAATTGCATAGCTTCTTGAAGGGGAGGGGAGAAAGAACATCAGATATATGCAAGACCCTGGGCTAAGTCATTTCCAAATCCTGTTTCATGAAATCCTCGCAACAAACATGTAGGGCTCAGAGAGGTTTAGTAACTGGCTCAGAAACACACAGCAGTAAGGAGTGAAGCCTAAGTTTGAAAACAGGCTTCTGATTCTCACCTCTGTCCCCATTTCAATAACTCATGCTGCCCCCTTCAAAAGGGAGGGAAGTAACGTTAGGTCCAATGGTATTTTCTAGTGACTTTAATTCTTCTACTTTCCAAAAGTATCACAGTCTCTTTTATCATCATGATGAGCACAACAATAATTCTACCAAAAATGAAGCAAGTTTTCAATTGTAAAGTCACTCCTGAGACACGAAGACTTGGTCCAAGATCATTTGAAGAATCCCCATAGTTACAGTTTGTCTCCCAGAGACCTTCACCTAGCACTTGATCACATCGATCTTCCATCATATTCTGACAGTGACTAGAGCCCTAGGACCAAAGCTTGATTTGGCAGATGATTGGTTAGTTTGAAGGATAGTGCTTTATTTATAACATGAGTTCTGAATGCCTTCAATGACGCAAAAGTCTCCAAGCCAAATCCTTCCTCTACCCTCTCTGTGGGACTGGGCGCTTCTCACGCAGGCTAATTTCCCGGCCTCAGCAGTCATCAGAGCTTGCTATGCTCTGACATTATAATACAACTGGGCCACTAGATGGTGATCTTTTGTCATGTATCACTTGAAGTTCCATTTATTCCTTGAGTTAATAACATGCACAGCTGCTTTCTTAGAAATCAGGCTTTATTAATTACTGCTTTCCCATAGTTTCTTACAAAGTATTTTTAAAAAATACTGCGTTAGGTATTCAGAGAAATGGGAATTAAACATAATATGTTTTAGCTCACTGGAAAACCTCTCTTTCAAGAGTAATGTCTGACAAATAGGTACAAACAAGAACTTTGGGACACATGATTTCATGGGGGCTCGAAAGAGGGCAAAATTACCATCTGTGTAGTGCTCAGGAGAAAACCAAAGTTATGTTGCGGGATCTCCCACCTGATACAGACCCCAGATGTCTCACTTCAGGTCTGTTGGCTTTTTCACTCAACAAACAGCCTGAGAAATACAAGAGGCAGAAACTTCAAGCTTTTAACTCTAGTGGTTACAGACGGATGGTCCCTGTGTTCCTGGCCTCCGACTCTGGACAGTTTCCTTTAACTCCATTTCACGCTCTTCCTCTGTGTAGGAGGAAACATGCATCACAGTATTTTGATAGAAGAAATACTCACTTTTAGGATAAGTTGGAAACATTTTTTTAATAAACACATGCATATGCATGCCTTTGGAACAGTATATTATAGGATACCAAGCCAAATGTTTTAGAAAAAGTCTGCAAAAAAAAAAATAAAAATGAATCAGGAGAACATAAATAGGAAAAAGAGTCATCTTTGCAAGCAAATGATAGGGAGATGGACTGATAAATAGAACAGGGGACCTTTTTGATAGTCTATTAGAGACTAGAAATGTTTTTTCAAAACAGAGCAAGATGCAGAGTGATTAAAACTGAGAAGTTTTCAGAAATTAAATCTATTTGAGGGATGCTGCAGAGGGGGAAAGCTAAGCCTAGGTGACGAGGCTGGTTCCATAAAGAGTTGAAATATTTTTAGGCTCAGGCCTGCTCTTCCAGAATGCACCACTCACCTGGGATTTGTACCTCACACTTTGTGTATTGCATCCACATACAACAGATTCTGGCTGACTGGATTTCTCTGTGTTTTGTCCCTCAGGAGAGAGAGAGCTCCCATAGTGGAAGGAGTGTGGTCATTTAGTCACCGGGCACAGCACTACTTCTGTGGCTACTTCTCACTTCCTGTGTGTCATCAGCATCATCTAGATTTCCAACTGATTTGAGAGAGATACTGCAAGTCTACCTAAGAATTTTGGCTTCAATTCTAGGAATCAAATAGAAGAATTTTAAAAACAAGATCGAAGAGTCAGTGACTAGCCTTAGCCTTGGTTCACACTCTCTGACTATTCATACAGTCCCTCATGTGTAATGGAGCCTAACACGGATATGATCCCTCAGGAGCTTAGTAGCCTCAGTCTCCAAGTAGGTCACAGTAGTGGGGACCATGGCCATTCTTAAAATGAGAACTCAGGAATTGTATTGGTAGGCTTTCTGCTGCTGGAACAAAATACCTTGCATATACAATTTATTTTGGTTCATGGTTTCAGAGATTTCAGTCCATGGTCAGCTGGGTCCAAGGCAGAAACATCATGGTAAAAGAGCACAGTGGAGGAAAGCTGCCTACCTCATGGCAAGCAGGAAGCAGAGAGAGAACAGAGACAGAAAGGAATGAAGCTGAATACAAGAATGTATCTGTCTATGTAATGCCTCCAGTGAGCTAATTCATCTGCCCAGGCCTTCTCTCCTAATAGCACCTTCAGTTACAAGCTCATCAGTGCATTAGACTAATGAGGTTAGAGCCTCTTATCACCTCCCAAAAGCCCCACCTCTGAACACAAGAGCGTTTTGGGGGGACATTCTTGTGCAAACCATAGCAGTAAACTTTAAGAAGTCAAACATGTTTCAGGAACAAGAAACCTATGAAGTATTAGAGAAACTCCCATGGGAACTGGTCTGCCTCCATTGAGTGTCTTGGGGGTCCTTGTGTGTTACAAGTCACTGCTTCCATCCCCAGTTCTGAGACTCTTGGATTTCCAGCCTGAGCATGCATGGAAATTCTACATGTATGTGCTCTTTCACAGGCTGTTTATTATAAGCGAACCAGGGAAGCATTTTTGCACCAGTCTTATTCCTGTAACTTGTTTTCTTTTTCTTCATTTCCCCCTATATCTAATGTATATTTTCTTATATATTATAAATCAATTAAAATCACTTTATATGTTTCTTGGGAATAATACAGTGTAAATAAATAGGAAAAAAATAAATGTACTGGGCTTAGGATACTGCCCCAAATAAATACCTGATATTCTACTTTGGTACACTTGATTGGTTTAGACCTTCTTCCCCACTAAATCTCAGAGAAGAGCTAGACAAACCTAAGTAATTCTGAAACTACCCTTCTCCTGACTTTCAGGGTTGAGACTTCCCAAGCAAAAGCATTCAGGCAGGTGTTTCTACTCAGAGTCCCAGGAGGAAAGGACTGTGCCTTCCCTAGAATAGATCATAAAGCTCCTCCCATTTTCTAATTTTATGCTTAATGTAGAGACCTTCTCTGAGCAGACAAGAAGGAGATGGGCGAAGCAGAGGTGCAAGTGTGTATGTGCTTCAGTTAGAATCCGTATGTGCGTGGACTAATGCTTAATTTAGAAACTGCTGTATGAGCACATTCATTTTTTCCCTAGTTTTACAACCACCTGTGGAGAAAATAAAGGTTTCTTTGGGCCTTTCAATATCCATATGTAACTGGGCTTAAGCAAAATGCATGGGAAGAAATTTTAATAATGTAGTCATGAAATTCAATCAGCAAGGGACTTCTGGCCTGTGTGTTAGTTACTTTTCAGTTATTGCTGAAACAAAATACCTGATGCCCAGATTTAAGGAAGGAAAGGTTTGCGGCAGTTTCACTCCTTACTTGGCTGGCTCCAAGGCAGAGTGGCACATGGCAGAGGGCAGCAGTTCAGGGCAGGTGGAAAACAGCAAAAGCAACAAGAGCAAAAAGAAAGGAGCAGAGAGCAAACCTCTTTCCCTCCCTTATATTGTATGCAGGCGACCTGCCCCAGGGCGGGTGTAGCACTCACACCCATAATCCCAGCATTGGACTGTGGATCAATCAAAAACTCTAGAAGCCTGCCCCATGACTGCATGAGGCTTTGGGGGACATCTAGACATAAATCCTAACAGCCTAGAAAAGATAGAAGAACCCCACTTGTCTGGTTTTTCTTTTCCTGTTACCCACAACTTTATAAATCTTGGAAATGACACAGGAAAGAACCAAAACCATTCTGAAGGGCACTAAGAATGTGGTGAACTGGCTTGAGAACTCAAGCACGAATAATAGCACAGAAGCAGGAGGAGCACACACATAGGCACACACACACAAACACAAACACACACACACAAACACCAGTCAATGGAAGGTGTCCCAGTAGCTCATCCTGGATCACATGGAGTACCTCTGGCAACCTCGTGTGAGGGGCCAGTTATTGGGAACCCTGCCAAATACAAGCAACTAGGGGAATACTCCTCTCCAGGGCCAGCAACTCCTCTTCTGAGGACAGATACTAAGGTGAGCAAGAGGAACCAGTAAGAGAGACCCAGGTGAAGCAGGTGGCTTAATTGGGGAAGCCTCATTGTCTCCACAAGCCTGAGACTTTCTTCCCCTACCCAGCATCAGTAGGGCTGACGGGTGGAATCAGGAGAAGGGGCAACGTGCCATGGAGAACAGCCCTGCAGCTAGCAGTGTGGTCCTGAAAACCATTTTATAGATCCAAGACTCTACTCCCTGGATCAGGGAAACCTCAGCCATGGGGGCCAGCAGCAGGAGTATTCCCCCTTCAGCAAAAGATATGACTACTGAGATAGAAGAACTTCTCCTGCTCCCCCAGAGACCACTGGGGGCCCAGGTGGCACAAGGCAAGCCGAACAGACCTAAATAACCCTGCAAAGATTCCAAAATTAAACTGCTATTGGATAGTAGGCAAGTGCCTGTATGCTAAACCCAAACAGAGTGACTCCCTGTAAAATATTTAAATATGACCCAGCATCTCCTAACATAACAAAAATACCCAAAATATAAACCAAAAACCTAGAGAAATCACAACTTGATGAAAAAAGGAAATCAACTAATGCCAGCACTGAGATGAATATGATGTTAGAATTATCAAGAATTTGAAAGCAAATATCATAAACTGCTATAAAAATCAGTTACAAGTTCTCTTGAAACAAATGAAAGAAATAGGAAATCTCTGAGAAGTTTTATCTGAAAAAGAGAAATGAAAATTATAGAACTGAAAAATAAAACAAATTGAAAACTTCCTGGATAGGCTCAACAGGAGAGATGATAGGGAGCAGAAATTGTGACCTGGAGGGTAAAATAATAGCCATTAGGCTAGAAAAAAAATGAACAGAGCCTCAGGGGTCTGTGTAACAATAATGAGCTATTCAATATTTAGAACTTTGAAAGCCCAAAAACTGAAAGAAAAAGAGGGTGGAGAGGATTATTTGAAGAAATAATGGCTGAAAACATCCCAAATTTGATTAAATATTTCAACACAAGGATTCAAGAAGCTAGTAAATCCCAAGCAGGATAAATTCGAAGAAATCTATGCCAAGACATATCATATTCGTTTTCCTTGAAAACTAAGGAAAAACTTAAAGTATCTGGAAAGAAATAGTGCATCGCCTATAGGGGAACATCCATTTGAATGGATTTCTCATGTAAAACCAAAAACTGTATAAGGAAATAGTCAAGTATGTTTAAATGCTGAAAGAAAAGAACTGTCAACCTATACGTCTATGTCTTACAAAACTACCTGTGTCAGTTTGGGGCTTATTTTGTAAGGGGAACAACATAATACAGGACACATACTTCATATGATTATTTATAAGTCACCCAAAGAACAGTATACAAAAGAGTGAAGGGAATCTGTCCACACACTAAGACCAAGGAATCCAGCTAAGGGCCTGGATCCCACAACAGTGTCCTACATGAGTTGAACTGAATACCCAGAGCTCATAAACAGTGCCTCCCACGAATCCAACTGGAGGCCCAGAGCCCATGGCAACGTCTCGTGCAGGCCTATCTAGGGATCTGCTGGAAAGGCCCAAAAGTCAGTGGTGGAATGTATAAAGTCTGTGCCAGCAGGATGAAGGACCTGTGCTAGCAGGCTGAGGGATCTGTACTGGAGCCAGGAAGTGATGCTCAGAAGAACCACAACTCCCCCAAAAGGTACCACGGCCATCCTTGGCAACTGTGAGGTCCTGAGCTCCTCCGATGATCAGGATGGCCAAGTTCCCATCAGGGAAACCAACGCAGCAAGCTTTTCCCGGAGGCCGGCAGTGCACCATCTTCCCTCCGGAACCAGGAAGCTATACTCAAAGTGAGGACCAGAGCGCTCCAAAGTGAATTGAAGCCATTCTCAGTGCCAGCAAGGTCCTGAGCCCCTCGGAGGATGCAAACAGCCAAGTTCATCCGAAAACCAGCTCCCCACGGTCTCTTTCAGTTCCCAACAGCCTTGCTTCTTCTTCTCCAGGACTGCCTCTTATGCTGCTGGCAACAGTCCTCAGGTGGGCCTCCCACACCCAGCACTGCTCACTCAGTTCAGCTGGGGGTTATAAGTTGACCACCAGTTATCAATCCACTACACTACCTTTCAAGAAGAAGTGATGATTTTAAAAATTCACAGACAAATGAAAACTGCAAGATTTGGGGACCAACAGACCTACCCTTAAAATACTGTCCAAAAGAAATTCTTCCAACAGAAAGCAAAAGATAAAAGGAGGAAAAGTAGATGAAAGAAGAGATAACAAAACAAGCAGAAATATGGGTCCATGCAATCCTTTCCTTACGAGTTTTATAAATTATATTTGATGATTGAAACAAAAAAGTTAATGCTGTGTAATACTCAATAGTATGTAAAGATGGTGAAGCCAAAGAGACCTAAATGGAAGTGAGTTTTCCACACTTCATTCAAGGTGCTAACTGTTGCTACCAATACATTGTGATAAATAATGTGTGAAACACCCAGAGCAACCACTACCTTTTTGGTATAGATAAATCCAAAAGTACTATAAGCAAATCAAGATGGAATCCTAAATCAAGTAAATGCAATAAGGCAAGAAAGAGGAAAAAAAGAATGAAGATCACAGAAAACAAATAGAAAAAATTATGAATAACATGAAAATGCTAACAAATCAATAATTATCTTAAATATAAAAGTTTTAAATATAACAGTCAAAAGCAGAGATTCAAAGAGTGAATTTTTTAAAGAAATCTATAAAGTACTTAGAAGAAACTCCAAATTTAAAAACAAGTTGGCTGTAAAAAAAGGCACCAATAGATATATACCATGTAAAAATGAATGACAACTTTTAGAAACCAGAAATAGCAGTAAAAATGTTTAGTAAAGTGTAGATTTCAAAGCAAAGTTCTGGAAACACAAAGAGTTATCATATAATGACAAAAGGATCAATCTACCCAGCAAACACAATATTCTAAATGTGTACAAACTAAGCTATAGATCTTTAGATATATAAAGTGAAAACCAGAAAGAAAAAAGCTGAAATACCATAC